TTTTTTTTTTTTTTTTTTTTTGGTACTGGGGATTGAACTCAGGTCCTTGCATTTATAAGGCAGGTGGCAGAACCACTGGGCTAAATCCCCAGCCCAATAATCTCATTTTTAAAGTAAATAAAAGTTTTCTTTCTGTAATCTCATTTTGTGAAACAAATATTTAAAAACTTTTGTAATTTTTGATTCATTTGCTTCTGTCAAATTTCCTGTTGATTTTAATAATGCTGCTTATAGTTATATTTTGGATTTGGATTATAAAACAGCTTGTTATGATTAAATCTTATTCCTGTTCTAATTCTGACAGCACCTAGTTCCGAGTGAGACCTATAAGGCCTCAGAGCTTTAATGCATGGACTTTGAGATATTTATTTCGAAATTTTAGAACTTTTATTGCTTACTTTAGTTATTTACTATACATATTACAGTTATCCAGTCTGACACCTTTGAATAAATGAGGTATTATGCTATTTTAAAAGTCTTTTATACTTTTTATAATTTCTTCTTTTTTTTAAGAGTATGCCAAGATGGAAGGAAGCCCCATACAGTACGATTATCAATCCGTCGGTCTTCATCTAAGTATTATAATCGTGAGAGTCGGCAGTGCCCTATTCCATCCCATGTAATTCAGAAGTTGGGGACAGGTATGGACAAGTTTTCTAAGAATTTAATTGACAAGATTGAATTCTTAAAGAGTAAACTTTGAATTAGAATTATATTCCAAAAAGGAGTGTTCATGTGGACTAAGAAAGCAATTAAATATTTTTGTGACTAGAAATTTTTTTATTTTTTATTTATTTTTATTTTTATTTTTTGGTACCAGGGATCGAGAAATTTTTTTTATTAAATGGATAATAAAAGTAAACATGCTGTGAAACATCTAGATTTTAAGATTCATCTAACATTCAATTTGCAAACTTCAGAGGGAACAAAGCTATTATAATTATGTATTGAAAATTTAACAAACATTGTCAGTATGACCAATGATGTATATTTTGAATTTTAATTACTTAAAAATTTATTTTAGATAAGGTCTTGCTATATAGTCTAGGGTCGTTGTGAATTCACTATGTACCCCATGCTGACCTTGAACTCATGATGGTCATTCTGTCTCAGCCTCCTGATTGTTGGATTTTAATTTCTCCTCCCTCTTTTTTTTTTTGTTTTTGTACGGGATTCAACCCAGGGGCCCTTGACTGCTGAGCTACATCCCCAGCCCTTTTTACTTTTTATTTGGAGATAGGGTCTCACTAAGTGGTCCATCTTGGCCTTGATTTTACAATCCTCTTCCTTTAGTCTCTTGAGTAGTAATTTCTTAATCTAAGCAATAAAAATTTATCTTAGCCTGTTAATACTAATTTTGATATAATATATTTAGATATTATCTTCTTAAACATTTTATTTAGGAAATTGTGATGTGATGACCTCATTGGTTAATATACTAATGAAACTTTTTCGAAATATGGTAAATGTGAAGATGCCATTTCACCTTACCCTTTTGAGTGTGTGCTTCTGCAACCTTAAAGCACTAAATAGAGCTAAGAAAGGACCTATGGATTATTATTTAACACCATCATCATCAACAACTTCACACTCTGGAAAGCATAGTTTTGTAAGTACACTCTTCTTAGATTTGTGTGGTTAAATGATAAATCTAAGTTTGTGGTTTCTTTTTGGTGCTGGGGATTGAACTTGGATCCTTGTGCTTGCAAGCAGGCCACCGAACTGCTGAGCTAAATCCCCAGCCCTTTTGTGTTTAACAGTGTTACTTAGAAGTTCTTTGGGGTGCTATTGTTTGGTTGATTTGTTTATAGTATTTATCACAGTTGCTGGCTTTTAAATATATACTATATTTCCACAAAAATAAGACTGGGTCTTATATTAATTTTGGCTTCAGAAGACACAGTAGATCTTATTTTTTCATGCACAATTATCTACATTTATTCATTTACAGAAATCTACATTTATTTAAATACAGTCATGTCACCCTCTCTTGTCATAACTTTCCAAACCCTGAATTCCGGTCTGAATTTCTTGAGACTGTGTTTCTTGTAGATCCATTGCCCCCAGTCACTCATAGTAGTAGAACTGTCCTTAAGTGAGCAGTTCTTGTCCATGTAACTTAGTTGTAGTGCTTTTGCAACACAGCTATCAGCGATTTTATCCCATGAATTCTTCACCCATATCACAACTCTTGTAGGCGACGCTTCACAAAGTTTCCATTAAATCAAGTGTAAACTGAAGATATATGAGACAAGAATGGCAACAAAATGATGACAGTAAGGGCTGGACGTAGTGGTGCACATTTGTAATCCCAGCACTCAGGAGGCTGAGGCAGGAGGATCACCATGGGTTTGAGGGTAGCCTGGGTTACATAGTGAGATCCTGGGTCAAAAAACAAATTCAGGTCCTTGCATTTGTGAGGTAGTTGCTGGAACCACTGAGCTAAATCCCCAGCTCAGCTACATCCATTTGTTATCAGGTGCACAAATGCATTATTTGTGCATTTTGTCTGTACTGTAGTCATCCAATAATTAAGTCTTGCCTTCATCTCTTTACATAGGCATTTACCTATCGTCCAATTATAATTTATATTATCATTTAAATATTAATGTCAATAATACTTAATTTATATTGATGTAATTTTATAATTTATTATACTAAAGGTTTATGTCTGGCTGATGGTCTTAGCTGGGGCTCTTATTTTTTGGTAAGGTTTATATTACAAATCATCCTAAAGAAATCATGCTAGGGGGCTGGGGATTTAGCTCAGTGGTGCCACCAACTACCTTGCAAGCACAAGGACCTGAATTCGATCCCTGGTACCCCCAAAAAAAGAAAGAAAAGAAAAAAGCAAAACAAAACAAAAATCATGCTAGGGCCTATTTTCCAATTAGGTCTTATTTTCAGGGAAATATGGTAGTGATCTAAAGAGAAAACATAAGGATCACCAGATAAGAGAAAACCATTATGGAGCTTCCCTATTTTGGAAGAGTTAACATATCACCTTAACTGTTTATAGGAATATGATATTTTCAGAAATTGGGAATAACATTTTTTTTGTCTATTTTTACGTAAACTACCAGCACCCTTCCCATAATTTTTTATTAAGGTATTTAAAATTTTTATAATTTTGAAATTATATTATTTTTTGCTAGCAGTGTTGCTAGAATTTGCTGATTTTATAATTTAACAACATAGTCAAAGAGGCAGAAGCCAGTCATATTTTCAAATGACTAAAACACCTATAGGTGTATCCCTATTTTAGTAAATGTGGGCTGCTATAAAAAATGATCTCTTTCATCTCACACAGTAATGCATACCTGTAATCCAAGATACTGAGCTAAGGCAGAAGGATCGCAAGTTCAAGGCTGACCTGAGCAATATGGCGAGACCCTGTCTCAAAATAAAGGAAGGGTTGGGAATGTAGCTCAGAGCAAGCTTCTGGGTTCCTTAGTACTGCAAAAAGTAAATAGATAAATGAAATTTTTATATATGTTGTTAATGCTTGTAATTAACTCAATTTAAAATATTTTTAATCAGTTAATGTAATTTTAATAGTATTTTCATTTCTACTTATTATGAAACAGAATAGTGTTATGAAAATAGTGAATTAATGCTCTCTTCAAATTCCTTTTATTCTGTGACCTTTTTTCTATTTATTAATTGCAAGTTAAAGCATTTTCTTCTTTACATTTTATTTAATCCATATAAAGAGAATTAAGGATTGTAATTATTTATTTAGTTTTGTTTTTATTGAGTGTATTGGTACATTCTAGGTATACAATACAGTTACATTCATTACTGGGAACAGGATTGTAATTTACAGTGGGGTTAGTTATAAATATAAGTGAAAGTACCCTGTATATTTGAAACACAGTATTCAATAAATCTAATGGCTGGAATCTTTTCTACTCCTTTTATATTCTTTGAGTTACTATTGTATTAATGTTTACTGAGCTATATTTGATGGTGTATACATTTTCATGGTGCTATGTCCATCAGTAAATAAATGGATAAAGAAAATGTATTTATACACAGTGGAATACTACTGTGCCATAAAGAAGAATAAATTCGAGTCTGCAGGAGAAGGATGCACCTTGAGACTAGAATATTAAGTGAAATAAATCAGACACTCAAGTTTAAATACTGCATGGTTTCTCATGTGAGAAACCAAAAATACAAATAAAGAGAAAAATAAAAGGTCATAAGTAGGGAGATAGATTTTGTTCAAATGGGTAGGGGATCAAGAGATGGAGGAGGGTAAAGGAGGAAAAGGGATTACAAAAAAAAATTAAGATGTGTTATGTACATGTACTAACTCGCCATAAGGAATGTAATCATGTAATGCAAACATGTACTAATAAAAAATAAAAACAAACAAAAACCTGGAAAAGAAATTGAAATGAAAAACTATAGAAAAGTTATATTAATTAGAATTGAAAGTGTTTTCAAGTTTTTACTGTATATAAATGTAGAAAATGTTCCATCTTAAAAATAACATTGGGTTTTTACCATAGAAATACTCTTTTTCTTTGTGAAACGTACTTTTAGAACAATAATTTTTGAAAAACCAGGCCTTCATGTTCTGTGCATGTATATATATATATATATATATATATATGTATATATGTATGTATATATATGTATATGTGTATATATGTATATATGTGTATAGATGTATATATGTGTATAGATATGTATATGTAAAAACCTTTAAGTGAATTACTTATTTTTTTCTAGGATACTGTTCTTTTATTTACAGAAATAGACATTTAAGTACATGATTGATTATGTTCTGCATGTATATATATATATATATATATATATATGTATATATGTATGTATATATATGTATATGTGTATATATGTATATATGTGTATAGATGTATATATGTGTATAGATATGTATATGTAAAAACCTTTAAGTGAATTACTTATTTTTTTCTAGGATACTGTTCTTTTATTTACAGAAATAGACATTTAAGTACATGATTGTTGAGATCTTTTCAAGATCTCTAAATGCATATTTAGCTCTGGCTCAATACTATCTAGGAAGGAAACCTCTTCCTGGTATAGTGAGTAATACTATTCTATGATAGCGTGAGTATAGTCACGCTAACTAAAGATGGTATCTCTAGTTGTTTGGGACTGGCCACAAAGGATTGAGATTGAAGTTGCTTGTAGTTCTGAAACATTTGTCATATAATAGCTATAGGCACATTTCAGTAGCAGGGATAGTTTAAAAATATCAGATATTTGAATTTTTCTCCTATCTTTGTGTTCTAGAAAATGAAAGATACTTACGTGGAAGACTTTTCCAAAGACACAGAAGCAAACTGCAATTTTCTAACAACTGGGAGGACTGAAAGTAGAAGATCAGAGATATCTTCACTAGATTCTACAAATTTTTTAAAAGAAAAACACATTAATGAATCCCCACACCATTCACTTCCTGAGGATGTTGACCAAGAAGTCTTTAAGCAACTTCCAGCAGATATTCAAGAAGAAATCCTTTCTGGAAAATCTAGAGAAAAATTTCAAATGAATGAAAATTTGAGTCGTCCACTACGTGCCTCTAGAGGACTATTATCTTTCTTCTGTACAAAACAAACTCAGGATATTCCCGTAAATCCTAGAGATAATTTGTCCAGTTGCACGCAGGTGTCTTCTGTGTCTCCCTGTGAACCAGGAACATCAGGCTTAAGTAGCAGTAGCTCTTATCTGTCTAGCCCAAAGGGTTATTCATATTATGTAGATAATGGAATGAGTCAGGTTCCTAAAGAATCTCAAGGTTTCCTTTTTCCCACTACGAACCCTGTTTTCCATTCACTTCCTAATTTGCAGAGTAAGCCATTTTTCCCCCCAAACCACACTACAGATACCCATAAACAAACAGTAGCAACAGCCTCTCATCAAGAAGGACTCACAGAGAGTAGAGAGCAAGATTATTCTGAGGAGAAAATTAATTTTCCATCTGGCATTGATCCTCAAGTTTTCTATGAACTACCAGAAGAGGTACAAAAAGAACTGCTGGCTGAGTGGAAGAGTAGTGGATGAGACTGCCACTTTATACATAAATAAGCATTTAAGAAAAAGATCTCAAACTCCAGAAAAGTATCATTGGTCTCAGATTAGCAGTTTCTTAAATGCTTCCGAATTAAACACTAATATTCAGTAATACAGAAATCCAATGTAAAATGTTCCAGATAAAGCAAGAATGCTTGAGAAGTAAATTCCAGCACAAAGCACATGACAGAAACAATAATGTAAAATTACTCTTTTCCACTTATTTTTACAGATTTTTTTTTTCTTCTTTTTGAGACAGGGTCTGGCTACATTGAACTTGCTGTGTAGCTCAGGCTGAACTTGAACTCAAGAACATTTTGTCTCAACCTCCTGAATGCTGGGATTACAGGTGTCTGTTACCATACCTGACTCACAGCTATTTTTATTGCTGTTCAATAAAAGGAATATTTTGGTCAACACTAGTACATTTTCCATAAATTGAGGGTGGAATGTATGTGCCTGCCTATAAAATAAAGGATCATCAGATCTTTCTGTTACAGTGAAGGACTGGGTTCTTTTTTTGGGAAATACACACTGTCTTGAGAAATTCAGGCTGTTATGAAATAGCCATATAGGAACCCCATTTGTCAATGAACCTATTGAAAATGTAAATTTCTTTGGCTAAAATACCACATTCCATTTAGGAAGTTGATTTAAAATACTGATGAGGGCCGGGGATTTAGCTCAGTGGTTCCACTGCCTGCTTTGCAAGTGCAAGGTCCTGAGTTTGGTCCCGGTACCAAAAACAAAAAAGATGAAATTTGTAATCAATGCTTTTTCATATCCTTTGAACCTACCACACTACTGAGCATATAATGCGGCTCACAAAATCCTGAATGACTGAACTGTGGCCAGCTCCAGGTTAGGGATTTGAGGGTGGGCAAAATGTGGATGTTGCAGAGGAACTGTAGAAGGACCTCTTCCTATGAGTCTATGAAGGGAAATATGGACATCTAAAATGCAGCTGATGGGCCTGGAAGCATACAGCATACTAAAAGCTGAATATAAGATTGAGGACATTTTATAATTTACATGACATAGATGTTTCTAGAACATAGTATATCAGCATTGAATTCTTATGGTCTCAAGTTTATAAATTTTACAGCTATAAAGATAACATGAGAAAAAGGAAACAGTATTTGTAGATAAGAGTGGGGTGGAAAGGTTGAAGGGAGGGCAGGGGAATAGGGAAAAAATAACCAAGATCGAATAATGGAATATGTAAAGGTACAAATTTCCAATGATGAATATTACTATATTGTATATCAAGTGTACCAATAAAATGAATTAATTAAAACAAAGATAACATTTAAGGGCTGGAGATTTAGCACAGAGTCCTTCTTCAGTTTGATCCCTGGTACCAAAATACATACATACATATATACATACATATACTACACAAATGTAAATAAAGAGTAGCTTAAAAATACTTGTCATCTCTGCCACTGTTTTAACTTCCTTATAATTTGAAAATTATTTATCTACTACGATATTTTAAAAGTTTGGGATTACCAAAACCAACGAACTTGGGCCAAAAAAGTCAAAATTGTTCACCACTTAAATATTTAGTACTCTGGATAAAGAGAGTATGGTATTTTCTATATACATTATTCTCATAAGGCAGTAAAACTCATAAAAGGAGTCAACTTTTGTAAAAATAATTCACTTAAAAAATTCTCAATCCATATGTTGATTTTAGGAACTTGGCTAGCCAGAATTGTTTTCAGGGAAAATAAGTTTAAAATAAATGGTTTGGGCCAGTTTAAAAAAAAACAGCAGTTGAAAGTGCAGTTTCTCAAAAATGCAAGGAATTATAGTTGTTTCCTATTTTTTTATATCCAGATAAGTGTTCTGAGAATCAAATTTTGGGGATTATCTTTAAATTTTTTTCCTTTGATGCTCTGCAGATTTACTCCAACATTTGGAAATGTGAATTTCTTTTTATTTGTTACATGCTGGCTTCCTGTGTCTTTTAGTTCATGTTCTATATCTCAGCTACTAGCACTTGAAAACTGCTTTTCCTCTATTTTAGAACTCTAAATTGCACAAATGGTAATCTTAGTTACTCTAACCTTTATGTTTCCAAATTTCTTGTATTTTTTCATCCTTTTGTTTCCTTTTGCCTCATTTTGAGTAATTTCATTAGTTGTCTTTCTGTTCACTACTTTTTTTTAGGCACATCTGACCTGCTCTTTAACGCCATGGTTTTTATATTATTTTTCATTTGTGTCTAATTTTCTATTCAATCATTACAATCTTAGGTAAATCCATTTCTAATTTAAATTAAAATTTTTAATTAAAAAACATTTTGTATCTCACTTTTGATAACTTCTGTATTTTAAGTCTTTATAATTTGTTTGTGGTTATTGAGTACCATTTATATCTCATTTCCTTGGGTGTGTCACTTAATTTAATCTGCAGAAAGACAAGGGATCTACATTTGTGGGTGCTTTCCTTCAGATAATTTGTATTTGCTGCTACTTTGAGTGAGTTGGCACAAACCCCTTGGCATCATGTTAGCCCCCTTTGGGCATGCTACGTGAATGTAGTTGTCTTAATTTCAGCTCTTAGTCCTAGCCTCTTGTACTTTTTTTTTATTATTGAGTTTATTGGTACATTTTAGGTATACAGTACAGTTACATTCCTTATTGGGATCATGTACCTTTACGTGACAGGTCTTGGTTCTCATTTCTTCCTCTTGCCCCTGCCCTCCCTTCATCCCCTCCTCCCCTCACCCTTTACAAACTTTTTTTCCATTTTCTCATATTTTTTTCTTTTCCCTTATTACCTTTCCCCTACCCTTCCCACTTTCCCTACACCTTTAGCCTTTTTTTTCCTATTTCACATTGTCAATTATCTCATTAGGATCTTATTTACTATTATAGTTTATTCACACCAGAGAAACTATTGGTATTTACCTATGTGTGACTTATTTATTTCACTTAGGAGTATATCCTCAATATGTATCCATTTTTGTATGAATGAATCTAATTTCTCATTCTTTATGGCTGAGTAGTATTCCATTTTATAGAAAAACCACATTTTTTAAAATTTTAAAAATAATTTTTATTTTTTAAAAGTTAATATATGTATTACAGGAAACAAAAACACAAGAAGCAAAGAACAAAGTCATTCTTAATCATAAGCAGCTTAGCTGGATGTGTTCTTTTAGGTCCTGCACGTACATATATAACATGCCATTTTGCGATGGAGTTTGTACAGTGTGTCATGCTTTTCTACACATCATGAATATTCATCAATTCAAAATCCCAAAGCTACAAGAGTATTTTTGATAAATAAGAACACACTACACCAACTCAATCTGTTAGGAAAAAATTGTAATCCTGCCTTTCTTGGGAATAACAATTTCACTTAAGATAAAAATGGCAACAGGCCTCTAGATAGAAGTATTGGCAAAGTTACAATTACAATACTGCATTTCCTTAATTCTCAGTTTAAAATGAGATATAAAGCAACAGAGTACACCAAGCCATGTGTCAGAGTTATCTTTACTATTAAAATATTAGCAAGAAGGCATATTCCCACTAAATTATTAATGTATTTCTACAGGACAACTAGAAGACACTGATTCCTCTCATCAAAATGTGCATCTGAACACTTTGCTCACATCTCTCCCTGCGTGCTTATTTCTGCCCCTCTGCTGCCAGCCTAGTGATGAGTCCTGATACACGCTGCCTAGAGGTGTTGTAACAATTCCAAGTCCAAGATGCATCTTTATCAATTACAACAAAAAGATACTTAAATGTGGTCTAATTCACTACCTCTAGTTTTTATGGCACACTGTCATCCCTTGGCATCTATAAAGCTTAGATGCTGTGCAATAGAGTATGAACTATGTGCACAATATGCCCAAGTACTTTACCAAAAAATACACCCACAGGGCTACGGTTATAGTCTAAGATTATCTTCCAGAAAAATCACATCTTCTTTATCCAGTTTCCAACTGATGGGCAAATGGGCTGTTTCCAAGTTTTAACTATTACAAACCGTGCCGCTATAAACATATGTGCACCTGTATCACTGTGATATGATTCTTTTAATTCTTTTGGAGAGATACCCCAGCAGAGGGATGGCTGGGTCAAGTGGAATCTCTAGTCCCAGATCTTTGAGGTATCTCCATATTGATTTCCACAGTGGTTGCAACAGTCTGCACTCCCACCAACAATGGAGAAGGGTTCCTTTCTCCCCACAACCCTGCCAACATTTGTTAATGGTTGATTTCTTGATAGCAGCCATTCTTTGTGGGGTGAGGTGAAATCTCAGTGTTGTTTTCATCTGCATCTCTCGAATGACCAGTGATGTGGAATATTTTTTCATATATTTACTTGCTTTTACTTTGTCTGAGAAATGTCTGTTCATTTCAGATGCCCATTTTTGAATCAGGTCTTTTATTTGTGGGGGCTGATTGTTTTGAGTTGTTTATATATTCTAGATAATAGTCCTTTGTCTGAGGAACAGCTGGTAAAAAATTTTTCCCACATGTTAGGTTGTCTCTTAGTTCTGTTGATGGTTTCCTTTGCAGTGCAGAAGCTTTTTAATAAGATGAAATCACAGTTGTTTATTCTTTCTGCTAGTTCCTGTGCTACTGAGGATTTGTTCATAAAGTCTTTTCCTATGCCAATGTCTTCCAGAGTTCTGCCTAACTTATCTTCCAGCAAATTTAGTGTTAATATTTAGATCTTTACTACACTTGGATTTTAGTTTAGTGCATGGTGAAAGATAAGGGTCTAGTTTTAATCTTTTGCAGGTTGAGATCCAGTTTTTCAACACCATTTATTAAAGAGGCTATCTTTCCTACAGTGGGGACTGTCAGCTCCTTCGTCAAAGATGAGGCAGCTGAGTGCATCTGGAGTTGTTGTTGTGTCTTCCAGTCTGTTCCACTGATCCTCAGGTCTGTTTGTTTGCCAGTACCATGCTGCTTTTATCACAGTGGCTTTGTAGTATAGTTTCAAATTGGGGATTGTTATACCCTCTGCCATGTGTCTGTTGCCTAGGATGGCTTTTGCTATTCTAGGTCTCCTATGGTTCCAAATGAATTTTTGGATTCTTCTTTCTAGTTCTGTGAAGTATAGTGTTGGGATTTCAATTGGTATTGCATTGAATCTGTATAGCAGTTTTGGTACTATGGCCATTTTCACTATGTTGATTCTTCCTACCCAGGAGCAAGGATGTCTTTCCATTTTCTTATATCCTCCTGGATCTCTTTTTTCAGAGTGCTGTAGTTTTCAGTGTAGA